AAGTAAAGGAGCAAAATCACAGAAAAAATGATTAACTCGATTTGGCCCACAAAAGATTAAAAAATAGAAGGAAATAGTAAAAGAGGAAGCATTAATAAAACCACCTACATAAGCCACTGTGAGAAATTGAACACACACTTGTGTGGACATTTTGGTGGAATAAAGCAGTGGGTTGCAGATTGCCACAAAGCGATCATATGCCATGATAGCCAGCAGGAAGCACTCAGCTGCCCCAAAGAATGCAGTTGAACCCAGCTGGGTACCACATCCATAGCAGGAGATTGTATTTCTCTCCACCAGAAAGTTTTTAAGCATATTGGGTGTGACAGATGTTGAAAGGCATATGTCCACAAAAGCCAAGTGGCTCAAAAAGAAATACATAGGATGATGGAGCTGAGAAGAGATTCTGATAAGAATGATTGTGCTGAGATTGCCAGATATGGTCACTAGGTAGGTACATAGGATGGTCATAAAGAGTATGACTTGAAGGATTAGGTTGTCAGTTAAGCCAAGTAAAGTGAAACCTTTTACTGCTGTGTGGTTCCCATCCCTTGGGGAATCCATGAGGTAGCTGCTACCAGAGAACCTGTGGTGAAACATTTCATTAAAGAAGTTGTAAATTTGATGGTTTCATTTTTATTAATATGCATAGAGGTTATTGTAAACAAAATAGTTATTCAAGCTAAGTTAAAAATTTTTTTTCCACTTTAGAGCCCAGAGTTTATATTTATGGATAATGAGTCTTGTATATTTTTTTAGTTGTTTTTAGCAGAAGCACTAGAGGACATGCTTCAAATAATGAAGATATTTTTCTCGTTATATTATCAATTTTTAAAATGTACTTGATGTGGCTTTAAATCTAAACATTAAAAACATGATTTATGAGAATACCATATTGGAATGGACACTATAACAGAAAAGATAAATGTATAAATGTTGTATTATATGACAGATAGTTGAGTAATAGCTAACAATTATTGAAACTTTACTAAATAGTAAGCACAGCGTTAAGAATTTTACGTATATTGTTCTGTATTAATATCCATGAAACAATATTGAGGATTTCAGATGAAGAAAATAATTTAACATTGTTAAGTAACTTATTTAAATTTACATAGCAAGTGATGCAATCAAGTTGTGGATCTCAGGAATTTTGAATTCATTTCATTTTTTTAAGTAACTACACTATAAATGGAATTAAATAATACTCTCGATGAAGTTGAATTTCTCAGAAATGGGTGGATAACAAATTACCTAGTGTATAAAAGAAGAGCCTAGTTAATTAGAAAGTTTATAATTTCCATCAGTAAACAAGATCATTTTTTAAAAGGAGAAATGCAATTTTCTTAATAGGATAAAGAAGAAATAGGAATTTCAAATTGAGATTATGTATAAAGATACCTAGTGTAAATTTACTATGTATGTTTAACATTTATAATTAAAATACTATTTTATCAAGTAGTCTGATCTGTAAACCTAAATACTATAAAACATTCTATGTTTAATACCTAGAACTTTATTAAAGTATGTTTATTCAAACAATTCAAATCATTTGCTAAAGTAACAATATTTTATAATTGGAGTGTTATAGAATGAAAAAATTTTAGTTTCTACATAAAATACATCTGAATAAATGTTCAGAACTTTACCCAGCTCATCATCACCAGGTTGAACCTCATCTCCATGTCTTCCGGCTGTATATTCTTGACTTTGTCAAAAGTATCTGGTTTGCATGCAAACTCATCATACAAAACAATATGTCCAAAATAAGTCTCGAAAGCATCACAAAGCTAATGAATTTATTAGCATTATGGTTGAGTGGCAAGTTTAGATATTCTGAAAGACCATGTGAGTTTCTGGCCTTACGGGTAGATAAATAAAGAACCCCGAAACCTTAATTATGCCTGTTTATCCTCCAAAATAGACTGTAGAAACTTAGATTAATTCCGCTGAGATTACTTGCTATCTGACTGTTGGATTCTTTTGTCGTTTCTCCACTACGGCTTATGAGTACACTACAGTTGTAAAGAATACATTATTTTCAAATGGTAAGAAATCATTACATTAGATTACTCACAAAAGCCAAAATCTTACCCCTTGAAAATAAGAATTCATTTATCTTACAGCAATAAATTCAACGTCGTTGTTGTTATATAGTTTCCATGCTGTCTTTCATTATTGTTTACTTTGGGGGATAAATCTCTGAAGAGTCTAGAGATTCAAATGTGAATTCACAAGCACCAGGGGTCATTATCACATTCTCAGGTGAGTATTGAGCAGTTCACTTCACATAAACACAACAAATCTTTGAGTTCTGTCAATTTTGAACTCATTTTTTTCTTAATATCTAGATTTTGATGCCTTTTCAATAGTTATTGGTAATATAAATAATAACTTATAAGTAAATATTAGTTCTAAGTTTGCTTTGAAATTTCAGTATAAGTAATACTATATTTCAACTATAAAATGGTAACTTTAGCTTTATTTAACGTGTTCATTTTACAAGTGTTTATAGTGATTTATGGAAAACATTCCTTTCAATGCCTTAGGGTGCATGGAGTGGAATGTCACGTAAAGTTAAATTTTATTTCGTTTATTTGTTATTAAAAATTTTGGGCGTATCATTGATTAACAAAATCACATAAATTTCAAGTGTATCATTCAACAGTAAGTCATATATATTGCATTGTATATTCACCACCTAGAGTTAGATTTCCTTTTGTCACCAAATATTTGACCTCTTTTACCCCATCTACCTCTCCCTTCCCCCCTTCCCTCTGGAAACTACTAATCAACTGTCCATGTCCATGAGTCTCTGTTTGTTAGTCATGTTTGTTTGTTACTTTCAGTTTTATATCTCACATGTGAGTGACATCATGTGGTTTTCAACTTTTTGTCTGACATATTTTGCTTAGCGTGATTATCTCAAGATTCATCCATTTTGTCACAAATGGCAGTATTCCACCTTTTTTTATGGCTAATATTCCATTGTATATATGTACCACATCTTCTTTATCCAGTCATCTGTCATAGGACACTTCAATTGTTTCCTTGTCCTGGACATCATGCATAATGCTGCTATGAACCTCGGGGTACATATACCTTTGTGGATAAATGTTTTCAGGTTTTTTGGGTAAATACCCAGTAGAGGGTTTGCCGGATCATATGGTAGATCAATTCTTAGTGTTTTGAGGAAACTCCATACTGTTTTCCATGGTGACTGTACCAACTTGCATTCCCACCAGCAGTATATGAGAGTTCCCTTTCCCCGACAATCTCTCCAACACTTATTACTTGTCCGGTAGATGATAATCATTCTAACAGGTGTGAATCAAATGGTTACTCTTTGCAAATGACATGATTCTCTATATAGAAAACCCTAAGGACTCCACTAAAACACCATTAGAAACAAACAAATACAGTAAAGTTTCAGGATCCAAAATCAATGTTCAAAAATCCATAGTGTTCCTATACTCTAATAATGAATTTTCAGAAAAGAAATGTAGAAAGTTCCTTTTACAATCGCTACAAAAGTAATATAATACCTAGGAATAAACTTAATGGAATATGTGAAGGACCTATACACTGAAAACTATAAGATACTGTAAAAAGAAATTAAAGAAGATACAAAGAAGTGGAAAGATATTCTGTGATCTTGGATTGGAAGAATCAACACAGTTAAAATGACCTTATTACTTTAAGAATATACAGATCTAATATAATCCCCCAAAATATTCAAATGGCATTTTTTAAAGAAATAGAACAAAAAATCATCAGATTTGTGTGGAAGCACAAAAGACCCCAGATAGCCAAAGCACTTCTGGAAGAGAAACTCAAGGCCAGAGGTATCACTCTGCCTCACTTCAAATTATACCATAAAGTTGAATTTTAAATAACACAGTTATTTAAGACATGTGTATTTTCTTTTTTTTCTAGCAGAAAGTATAAAACAAATATCATTTAATTTGTAAATAGAGAATCGTGAAGTACAAGAGGTCTGAATGACTTCAAGATCAGACTTAGTCTACAGGCCTCAAAGGGATGACTACTAATTAGTGGCTTATTTTACTAGATGGAAGATGGTGGAAACACCTATTTTCAACGTGAAGGCTCAAGCTAATCCTCTCTCTAATCCTAATTTTAGAAAATCCTGTCTCACCTTGCTGATGGGCCCATTGATAGATATTCCACTAAAAATAGTAACCAACTTGCCTTCAGACTTTCCTCTTTGCCAAGTACTGTGCTTAACACATTTACATATATTTTCTCATTTAATCACTGCAATACTTTGGTGAGCGAAGTACTGCAATTATCCTAATTTTACAGAAAGTGGACCGAGGCTTACTTAAAGATACTTGTCCAATGTAATCAACTGGTATAATTCAATCCTGGTTTAAAATTCAGTTCAGAGTGAGTGCTAGAATGTGTACACTAACTACTGCTGTCTTTTAGTCAACTTTAAGACTCTGAGTGCCTAAGCGATCACCGCTGGTTCCCGACTAGTCCCTGATTTACTCTCCTTTCTCCCCACCCTCTACACTCTGCTTAATTCCCTAAAATTGGCTAGACCTACATTGTGGTCCTGAGCACCAGGTCGGTACTCAGGATCCTAACTTACTCCCATGTGCCCACCAATGACCAGCTCCTGTTGCTCTTATCTCCTGATTTCCATCACGTGTCCACTTCTTTCCACTTGACACTGAAACAGTTGTCTACTTGATTTTCCCGTATGCACATTTGGCCTCTGCCAGAACAGCCAAAGTGAGTTATTTATTAAAATAACTTAATATTACTCATTTTTAATGCTATCAGTTACATATATTGGTTAAAATGTCTGAGAAGAGATAACAGTTTTCCATGTTCCTTTCCTTTGCAAATCCAAAATACACCTCCCCACAGGTAACTGCTTTTGACTCTAAACTATTTCGTGAATGAGATTCCTCAGTATCTGTAAATAATTTGTTTTAGTAAAGAAAAGTTATATTTTCCATCTATGATCCTGCTAGTTTCTCTTTTTATTTAATTTCAACATAATTGATACAAGGAGAAAATCAGTGGATTTCACACTGTAGGAGGATCATTATGCATATTATTTGTAGAATTATATAACAGGGCCAGAACAAGATAATAGGTTAAATGTCAAAAAGAATAAATTTTAATTCAATATTCCATTGCAAAGATGAAATAAAAAGTAATTTCTCACAGCTAACATGCAAAAAGAATGTTTTGGTACCAAACTTTGAAAGATATACAGGAATAAACAAGTAGAGTTAAAGTGGAATCTTATATACAAGGTTATTATAAAAAAGTTATTCTACTTTATTTTAGCTAAGTAGAGAATGAAAATAAATCTTACTCCTTGATAAACCCATCTTTTTAGTTTAATTAATGATCATATATTTAACATTTTATTCATATCCATATAACAGATTAAAAAAGAGCTCAGTTTGTTGTCATCTCAAATTCTACCTTACCTAAAAAATCAATTTATCTTTTAAGTTTCCAGCTATTACAGTAAATCCTCTGGTTATAACTTTAATTTTAATCTGGGCTCAATTAAACAA